TAGTAAATCTGTAGAGTGTTTAAAAATTCAGAGATGGTAGAGTCTATACCAGAAGATTTGAAAACACAGTTGTATGCTGGATTGGACTCATTTGAACGTAATTTAGTGATATACTGCAGTGAGAGTTTAATGCGGCGTTGTTCAAGGGAAGGTTCATTGGCCTCCGCATATAGACTGTCTACCGGAGAGGTCCTAAAAGCTCCCAGGCAGAGCCTTAGTCCTTGGTGGTGGATAGAGTCTAATATTTCTAAATTGCTTTTGCAGGCTCCACCGTAGACAATGGAGCCATAATCTAGTTTACTGCGGACTAATGATCTGTACAGGTGAAGGAGGGTGGTCTGATCCCCTCCCCACTCTGTATTTGAAACTACTTTTAGCAAGTCTAAAGCCTTCAGGCACTTTGTTTTCACATATTTTATGTGTGGTAAGAATGTCAGGTGGCGGTCGAATATGAGTCAAGGAATTTGGCCTCTTCTACTACTTTGATGGGAGTACCATCTAAAGTTAGGTCTGGATCCTTGTGTGGTTTGTATTTACGACAAAAGTGAATACAATTTGTCTAGGATTCTGAAAACCTAAAACCATTTTCATTGGCCCATTTTTGGATTTTGTTAAGGCAGAGTTGTAGCTGCCTTTCTATTGCGTGCATGTTCTTACCACGACATGAAATATTGAAGTCATCGACGAAAAGGGACCCATCAACGCAACTGTTCAGAACGTTAGTGAGGCTGTTAATTTTGATGCTAAAAAGTGTGACAGACAGGATGCTGCCTTGGGGGACGCCCTGATCTTGGTGGAAGTAGTCAGACAGTGTGGAACCCACCCGAACTTGGAATTGTCTGTTATTTAGAAACCGAGATATGAATTGAGGTAGTCTACCCCTCAATCCAAACTCGTGTAAATCTTTTAGGATACCATGTTTCCATGTTGTATCATATGCTTTTTCTAAGTCGAAAAAGATAGATACTGCATGTTGTTTGTTCACAATGGAGTTTTTGATGAATGCTTCCAGACGCACCAGATGGTCAATGGTACTTCGGTTTTTTCGGAAACCACATTGGAGGTCACTGAGGAGGTTATTGGTCTCCAAGTACCAGATTAATCGATTGTTGACCATGCGCTCCATGGTTTTGCAAACACAGCTAGTTAGTGATATAGGACGGTAGTTTGAGGGATCAGTATGGTCGCGACCTGGTTTTGGTATAGGGATGATGATGGCATTGTGCCACGAAGGGGGGAAGTGTCCGGATGTCCAGATGTCATCAAATATATTTAGGAGTGTTTTTCAAGCCTATGTCAGGGAGGTGTTTCAGAAGCTGATAATGGATTTCATCAGCTCCTGCCGCAGTGTCGTGAGCCTGTCCTAGGGCAGTACGTAATTCATGGAGGGAAAACGTTTCGTTGTAATCCTCCCCATTATCAGAGTTAAAATTGACTGGTTTCTTTTCTTGTTGGGTTTGATATTTCTGGAACTGAGGGTTATAATTTGATGAGGAGGAGTGGTTTGCCAAAGTTTCGCCAAGTTTGTTTGCAATTTCAGATTTATTTGTTAGAAGGGAGTCGCCATCTTTCAGGTGGTGAACTCCTGATTTTGACCCTTGCCCTTGATCTTTTGAATCATGTTCCACACCTTGGACATGGGTGTGCGGGAGTTGATTTTGGACACATATTTCCTCCATGAGCGGCGTTTAGTTTGTTTGAAGGTACGTTTTGCTCTGGCATTTGTCATTTTAACAGCATTCAGGTTATGCACTGTCGGATGTTGTCGGAAATATTTTCCGCCTTCTTCCTATTTTTCCTAGCTTGTTTGCAGTTTGTATCAAACCATGGTTTACGTATGTGCGGGTTTGCAGAGGACTTAGGAATAGTTTTGTCTCCGATGGCATTTAGGACGTCTGAAAATAGTTCCATGGGGTCAGGAACATTCCTGAAGTTGTCCGGCTTAAGTTTTTCTGAACATAGGGTTTGGAATAAAGGCCAGTTGGCCTTAGTAAAATTCCATCTTGTTGATGGTGGTTCATCCGTGGGGTTGATAGGAGTAAGAATTGTTGGGAAGTGGTCGCTTCCGCAAAGGTCGTCATGGACCGACCATTCGAACTCATTTAAAAGATTAGAATCTGTAAGTGATAGATCGAGAGCAGAGTATGATCCAGTGGCAGGATGGAGGTAGGTGTTTGATCCATCGTTGAAGATGCATACATCATTATTGGAGAGAAACTCTTCAAGGATCTTTCCCTTACTATTTGTATCATTACTCCCCCATAGGGGGTTATGGCCGTTGAAGTCGCCCATGATTATGCAGGGCTTTGGGAGTTGATCGTATAAGTTCTGAAGATCTGATAGGCGAACAGTTGAGGTGGGAGGGAGATAGAGGGAACATAGTGTAAACCCTATGTTCAGAGTTATGCGGACAGCAACAGTTTGTAGGTTGGTGTTAAGTGGGACAGGGCTATGGAGGGTGCCCTGCCTCACCAGGATAGAAGTGCCTCCTGTAGCTTTTACACCGGGAGGAGAAAAGGAGTGGTAGGAACTGTACCGACGGATGTCAAATTTATCGGTCCTTTTTAGGTAGGTTTCTTGGAGACAAAACGCAGATGGTTTGAAGTCTTGAATCAATAGCTGTAATTCATTATAATTATTCTTAAGTCCTCTGCAATTCCATTGGATAATGTTTTGTGGATTCATGGTGCTTCCACTGGTGACATGTCACGTGAACGTGAGAAAGCGTTTGATGAACTCCTATTGGTGTCTGGTGGAGATGGAGTTACCTCCATATCCAGAGGGCCAAAGGAGTTATGGACCTCGATGGGGACCTCTGAGGAGAGGTGGCCTTTGGTTTTGTGTTTGGCGGTTGTTCGAGTTGCTTTAGTCTCTCTAGCCTCTTTTTTTCCCTTTTTCTGCGCGCAGTTTCTGTCTCTGGTTTTGGCATTTGTTCTGGTGTTTGTGATTCAGAAGTTTTGACTTTTGGCGTTGGAGATGGAGTGGCTGAGATAGGCTGAGTTGTGTTGAGTTCAGTTGGCTGGGAAGACGTGACCCATGTCAGGTCGGTCTGACATGAGATGGTTGCAGTAGTGATGGTAGGACGGGAGACAGCAGCAGAGTAGGTGATGGTTGAAGGGGCTGCAGTTAGACTTGCAACCCTCTTCTTTGCTTCGTGAAAGGAGATATTTTCTTTGTGTTTTATCTTCAGTATCTCGGATTCGCGTTTCCATACTGGGCAGAACTTGGAAGAGGCCATATGGTTACCACTGCAGTTTGTGCACTTCACTTCCTTAGTACAGTCGTTGCCCTCATGCTTGTCACCACAGCGGTAACAGACAGCAGAGGAACGACAGGACTTGGATCCATGTCCAAACTTTTGGCAGTTGTAGCACCGGAGTGGATTGGGGACATACACCTCCACACCAATGCTACAATAACCAGCTCTAATCGAGTCAGGAATGTTTGCTCGCGCGAACGTGAAGAGATAGGTGTTCGTTGGTTGAACAACACCATCCTTTTTGAAGGTAAATCGTTTGACGGCTGTGACGGATTGCTGAGAGAGTTCCTTGACAATTTGTTCTTCAGTCATGTCAGACAGGCATCGAGCTCTGTCCCGTACAATGCCTCTACACGAATTAAGGGTTTTGTGTGCTGAGACAGCGACCTTGATATTTACAAATTCTTGTATTTTGAGAAGATTTACAGATTGGTGTTTCCGGGTACATTCTATCAGGAGAGAGCCAGATCGGAGCTTTGTGACATTGGCAACCTCTCCGCAGATACCAGCGATACCTTTGGAGATTGCAAAAGGGTTCAATTGCAAAGGTTGGTTGTCACAAGCCTCAATAATCAGGAAGCGTGGCCAGTAGTCAGGTCGGGGGTGCGTACTCTCGTCAGACGAGGAATTGTCGGTATCCATATGTCTTCGTTTTGAACCGGGGTATTGGGAAGCCATGTTGTTGGTAATGTGGTTCGGCATCCCCTCTCCCCACCCACCGTGGAGTGTCAACAAGGACGATTTTATATTGCAGCGGGTCTCCGAGCTGCATAGACCAGGGATAAGGGGATGTTATACTCCAGCGAATTTGACATGAAATGCTGTAGCTGCCTACCAGATTAAAGGTCAGGATGGTTCTGTCCATGACAATCAATTGGAGACGTACAGAAATCGGAGGTCAGCATCACCAGATTGGCCCATGAGCCACCGCCTTCTGTGCATGGGTCTGCGAGGCTAATTTGTTTCGTAGAATAGTGTTAACATTTTGAACATGGTCAAAAGTGTTATGTAATACCACGTTTTGTATAGACATTCCATGCACAGGGCAAGGCGTGACCAGCCGATTGGTAGAATCGGGCCTATTCTACCACCCGTCTAGGCAAAGTTAGGGTCGAAGTGGTGTGTTGGATTAGTGAACACTATTGCCGGTTCCGTCATCCTCAACCACCAGACTCCCTTCCTCTGCCGACACAGGGATGCAACCCACGGCAAACGGGTTGCCCAATTTGGTCGCCTCTTACGACCAGCAATGGGGTGCTGTGGACCTATTCGACCCTGGGTCCACACAGGGGCGAAGAGCCATTGGCGTTACCGCGGGTTCGTATCCATGATTAGGTTTTGATATTTGTCAGCACACACCTCATATATATATATCCTATGATATTACTGAAATACTGTTGAGAGGGGTTTTAAAACAAATTATACTTCCAGAAATTAAGTGATTTAATACACATGACAACTGTTGCAGCTCAGAAATATCGTAGAGATTATACCATATACAATCCGCATCCATAAACTGGATTACGTAATGGAGATCTTGTGTATCGCGCGACACTCTTAAATCTCACAAGGAAGACTGTGGCACAGTTCATTGTGGCCTGATACATTCAAACAACTGAAACAACCTATTGTAGCGGTTATGTTTCATAGGACAGTTGGACAGCGGGTCTGCATGAATCATTCGTAATTACTCGCCTCTTTCCGTGACCTACAAGAACGCCATCCGGCTTGCCGGAACGACACGAGTAGTTACGAATGTGCATGAATGATTTTTCCGGTATCGATGTTACGACGATCGCCAGAAAATATACATACAATACTCAAGTAACTAAAGGCGACAAAACCCTTTCACCAATTTTGATAATCAAGTCTCTTTTGTACGATCCCCACTTTGAGTATCATGATCATGTGTTTTTGTGAAGCACTATGAAGTAAGAAAAGCGAAAACGAAAACAGGGGGATACAGCTTTTTGAGTAAAGGTAAGTGCACACTCTTAAAACGGGGATGGGGGTGGGATGTTTCACACTTCATTTTCACCCGAGTGCCAATGGTCATTTAATAAACTTTTCTCTCTATCCTTTTACACTGATTAGCATGATTAACACAGTGGAGTTTGTGTGAACGAATTAAACTTGCCGGGACGGGCAATTTACCAAACTTATAGTTATCTTTTACATGTTTTACACAACGCATATTTATGTTTTACAGATTTATACGTCTAAAATGTTCCACCTGAATCCAGCAGATGTGGTCAAACAGACTCGCTACCAACTGGCCACATACATCCACAGTCGTATGGTAGAAGATGGGATTCAAAGTCCTCCGAGCGTGGATGAATTACTGGATTCTCAATACCCACGTATATTTACTATATATCATGTTAAATTAATGAAACCTATAAAATGAAAGATTCAATTTTTTAAAATTCGAATTTAATATGGTTACAGAGACTGATGATCTAAACCATTTAGTCGTCTCTGATCACCTGCGTTGTTTACTTGGAAACTATTCTAACCCCGAATCCGGGAATAATAATGTAATGTTAATCTGCTTTGTCTACTCAGGTTACCTTGTCGATCATCCGTTTGTGGACATAGCTAAAACGGCTCAACCTAGTCCCGATGAATTCAGAGAGCTTCATAGGTAGGCTTTACATTAATGTTAGCGCAGAAATTATACACCTATGTTTGACGGTAGCTGAAGTAAAATACATAGAAAACGACAATTAGATGCGTTATAAAATATATACGGTGTGATTGCTGTTTTGGTGTGTGTGTGACTTGGGGGGTTGGGGGTGGGGGTGTGATTGCAGTGTTATTTTTTTTTTAAATGTGTGCACTCAGTTTTAGGTCAAAGTATGTTTTCTTTTGCTTGGCGATTTGTGTTCAGCGGTTGCTGGTGGTTTCGAGGTTAAAATTCCTCTTTCCACTACGGTTCGAGAAAATCCGTGCTACACCCTCACCATAACGTAACATAATGCTGATTCTTTCCTTCAAACCCGAATTCAGATATTGGATAGGCTACCTTTTCTAATCTTCTTTCAGGATCATGGAGCGAATTCCCCACGACGCAGAAAAAACTACTATTTGCCAAGTTATACAAAACGTGTTCAACGACAATGTCATCAGCTGGGGTAGACTTTCAGCCATCTTCTATTTTGCCTACAAGATGTCAGTCAGGGTAAGTCATCCAGCATCCAGTATCACTATTACCTTGATAGTACTGCCTTGGCCACCCGCATGTTGTTTTTTATAGAGAGAATCTCACCCTCGTGTCTTCTGATATCAAATATATCAACACTCGTTAATTATGTTTGATTTTTCGGTTGCATGTGACAAATATCTTCCGGGTTTTCCACCCATATCAAGCCGACACATTGTTACATAAACGAAATACTGCACTCCTTGCCGCTCATTATAGAATGGCTTGTAAACGTTTTGACAGTCATCTTGACACCAGATGACAACCAGGCATCCAGAGTTATCGCCCTTATATTGCTATCGTATATGTGCTCGGTTGCGTTTTTTGATGTTATCATCAATTGCATTCGGATTGGTTAGAAGTCCAAAAATGTTAGAATGTCCCAGATGATGACGCGGGTTCAACGTTCGAAATAGCCACTGGCCTGCTGGCCCGTGGCTAGTAAAAATCCAGTTGGGCCAGTAAATCTCTTTGTGCTCGGTTGCGTTTTTTGATGTTATCATCAATTGCATTCGGATTGGTTAGAAGTCCAAAAATGTTAGAATGTCCAAGATGATGGCGCGGGTTCAATGTTCGAAATTACCACTGGCCTGCTGGCCCGTGTCTAGTAAAAATCCAGTCGGGCCAGTAAATCTCCCCAGTCTCTGGCCCGACTGGCTAGTGAATTTTCATGGGTTCATTTTGTAAATATTTCACTCTCTCAGACTTGTTACGTCATAATACACTTTTAAATGTATGCAACATTATGGCCTGATACAAAATGTTCATCATATTAGCAGCTTAATGATGAAACCCATGTCATGCCGACAATATATTATTCTCATGTATTTTTGTAATCAGATTTCGGGCTTGTAAATAATGTTGTGGCTAGTAACTTTCAGGCATAGCTAGCCCGCACTGACTAGCAAAATTTGGAAACTATTTCGTACACTGCGCAGGTTCCATTCTTCACATGGATTCTATGTGTGAAGCCCATTCTGGTGTCTTCCTCCGTGAAGAAGCGGCGTAAAACCAAACTCACTCACGCACACATTAACCACTAAGAAATAGATTTATTTCTTGCATTGATGTTTAACATAGCATTGTTGTGTACATATAGCATGTTCTACCTGGGTGACATAATGAACGATATTCGTTTTTTTATACAGGACCAGTATAACGTAGCCAGAATCCGTTGCATCATCGAGGCTGTGGTGGAATCCAAGAAAGATGAAGTCACTCAATGGATTATTGACAACGGGGGCTGGGATCAAGTTGCAGCGATGTTCGCTCCAATACGAGTTTATGTACGTACCAGAATATCACAACAGGCTAACAAACATAGACCTAGTTATAATTATAACTTCTTGACATCGGCATGCTTTAGAATGGACAGGCCTCCTTGATAACTTCTGTCCGGTGGTGTATTCTAGTGGTTAAAGCGTTCGCGTCCGAGGAACAGGGTTCAATGACCCACATAGGTACAATGTGTGAAGCCCATTTCTGGTGTCCCCCGCCGTGATGTTGCTGGAATATATCGCGGCATAAAACCACACTCACTCACTCTGGCTGAACTGTCATAAAATGCATATGAATCTGAACACAACAGTTACCTAATAAGTTGACAATTAATAGCAAGGATGAATGGATTGTGCACAAATACATGTTTTTTGCTTTCGTATATTTCAGGCAATGGTGAAGGATCGCTTGAAGCACTGCAGCAAACACATGCTGTTTGTTCTTGGAGCTGGTGGTGCTGTGTGTGGAATCGTGTATCTCTGGAACAGAATGAAAGAATAATTTCTTGCGATATGTATTTCCGGAGACAACCACGTCATAAGCACTCCTGACTACCCCTGTGACAAATAGTCACATTAATGTAAATGTATATTCATCAAAAGAGTATAACCTATTGTGACAGAACGTAATGCCTTGTTTCAGTATACATGTATATGTTATTTCTTGCCTTCTCAATGCCTCTTTCATACTGTTATCTTCATAAACCATCCAAATATATCAAATACAAAGTGTTCTTGTTTCTAACTTCTGTGATGCGTGAATTAAGTGTGAATTGCTTAAACATATTTCCTTCACCCACATAAGAATATTCCTTTTAATTTTATTTCTTTGACGTAATTTCCGCCATTATTAGGTATGACACAATTACGGAAGACTGACTGACTGACGAGCCAACGCTTTAACCACTAGGCTACCCCACCGCCCCAATTACGGAAGAACCAACACTTAGGACTTTTACCGGGTGCTCAGCGAACGTAATGGTTGTTCTGATTCTGAAACAATAATTTAACGACAACTTCGGTCACTGACCACATGCAATTTGAACTTAACACGTATCAGGCTATACACCATAAACAAAACGCATTGATTTATGGCTCGTGCACCCGAGTTCTGTCTCTGTCATAATCAGCAATGTATATTATATTTCATGAATAAGTAATAATTGTGTTTAATTATGTTTTTTGTTGTTGTTGCATGTGACCTTTAAGTAACGTGTCGGCAAATACCTTGCCGGAAGTTAGGAGTTTCTTGAAGGTGAAATAAACCGGTTCTACCCAGCTTCCACACAACAATCATACCACGTTTTCCAGGGGTTTGTGGGAAAGGTTTAATGAAAACATTTTTACAATGTTTTTAAAACTTTTCTCCCGTTTTATAACAATACTAAAACGTTTTCAAATCGTGTCAACAATGTTTCTGTGTTAGATGGGTAAACAGCTGTGCTCAGATTCATAACGTACAGAACAACTGTTAAATATCTCTCTACAGTAGTGAACGAGTTTTACGCCACTTTGAGCCATATTCCAGCAACATCACGCCGGGAGACACCAGAAATGGGCTTCACACATAGTAGCAACGTGGTGAATCGAACCAGGGTCTTGGCGTGACGAGCGAACGCTTTAAACACTAGGCTACCCCACCACCCCCACATCAGTCGATATACAGATGAAACAATACTAAAGCGACCTTAAACGATGAATGTTGAAAATGGTAAAGTAGATTGTTACATATTATTACCTTTGTCTGACAATTCCTTTTTAAACAATTCAATATTACATCCAGCAAAAATATTTACTTACTGAACATCATTAAACGGTCTATTCATCATCATAATTATAGAAACAAGCAAACTGGCGATTGTAAAACAGAAATAGGCGTTTTTGTCGATAGATTATAACCTGGACCTATGTACCATGAAAATATTAATCTCTAATACACAAACAGGTACGTTTTCACCCACAGGGGCTTGTAACGCTAAATAAAAGGATAGTACTAAGACACTGTTAGTGACAGTACATAGCTTGATGGCAGTTTAGCGTTACAAGCCCCTGCGGTAGCACCCAGTTTCTTGGTTTGCACATCACTGGAGTAAACCTTACGTTTATATTTTTCGACAGATATCATGTCTCCGTTCGACTTTTCTGTGTACAATACAAGATACAAAGAAAGGGAGCACCTTTGAATGGAACTATGTAAATAACGTTTGACCAAAGAGGTACATAGCATGGTTTATATCTATAAACGTTATATTTGTAAAATTACAGTTAGCTGGGTATAGTTTCCTACCATCACAATTTTGTATGTTTTTTTTCCTAATAAACAAATACAAGTGAAATTTTTTTTAAAATGTTATTTTTTTCTGCAAAGCCAACAAACTGTTCATTTTAGGCGTATTTATATGGAAACTGTTCATTTCAAACCAAAACATTTCCAACATATCTACAAAAGTCGAATGAACGATCCCTAACCAAGTACTGAATTTGAAGGCCGAAAGAAATGGGTGTTTTTGAAAGAAAATGGATTCATAAAAGTCGAGATAATATTTTACGTTAATGGGCAAGAACATAAATTTATTTTCTCTACCAACCTATGCCTTTGGGTTTTTTCAGTTTATGCGTATATTTAATGCTCATTACATAATCGTTACTTTATAATTTTCATCGCTAAAGTTATTCATGAATTTCCCAAAACGTTTCTTATTTTGCTGAGTATATGTTTGACGGGCGGATAACTCTCAGGATTACATTCACTTCCGGTTTACTTCCCCCATGAACGAAGATGAAACTTGTTTAGCAGTTTCGCGTAATGTAAGGTATTGTTAAGTTGTTCACATAATGTGTCATACATATCGCGGTTAGCACCCCGCTGGAAATCTCAACACCAACCTGGTACAGTTTCTACCTAAAAAGACAGTTCGACAAAACAGTCGACTCCATTGTTCCAAAGTTCAATCAATTAAAAAAAAATGTAAAACACACTCGGTATTCATTGCTGAGTATGCGAGTCTTTACGAGATAAACAAACATTTCCCAACTTTGATTTACGTTTTCAGTGTATCAATCACAACAAATCTATTCAACCTTTTGGAAAGGTTAGGACTTCATGTAGGCTAAAATATTATAAAAGTATCTAACAAACCAGTTTGTATCGCTGCAGTTTACCGGTCGCAGATTATAAAACGCTATGGTAGTTATAATGACACAAGCGGTCGGCTGTAACTCAGGTTTCACAGATCTCGAGTGACTCCTCGATTCTTAGCTTAGTTGTCTTAGGGTTGGTGAGATAAAGGAATTTACTTTTGAACAGCTTTACCGGACACACATATCACACAATCATATTTTGCCAAGTGAAAGTGTGAAAACCTCTTATGCCTTTGCTGTTATCTAGTGCAGGGTGAAGTTACATTCACACTCAATCACAGTGTTCAAAGATGGGCCAAAAGTGTTCATGCTGGTGGACTTTCCTTGAAAATGATTCAGAGTAAGATCTTTACTTGTGAAATGTCGGGTGCACTTGAAGAAAGCAACAACATTTCCGTCCCTGTTCTTTTATGCTGCAGTCAAATTCTGTGAACTTATCACATGTACCGGGTATGTGCTGGGGAACTAACCTGCCGAGATATCATCTGACGACACCTGGATTACAGGGATACTAGATTATTTAAGTTTCTATTCTTATTATCTTAAGGATCTTAATCTAACCAATGTAAACCATGCTAATTGTGAATTGATATAATATTAAGTAGGTTCATTTATTTTCAGTTGATGCTGACTCCAGACAAGATCTGCATCAGTAGCAGCAACAGAGGCTGGAAGCAATATGGAGAAGTGTTCAGTATGCAAGAAGACATTTTACTCACCTGAAGCATTTAAGCATCATCTGAAAACACACACAGTTAGTAACAGCCTGCAGTGTGTTGAATGCAAGAAAACCTTCTCACAATACAAACACTTTGAAGTTCATCAGAGAATACATTTCCTAGAAAATCAGTTGAAATCCAAGTCACAATCGCTAATAACTGACAAGAACTTTGAGTGTTCAATATGTTTCAAAGGGTTTTCCTTGCTGAAGCAGCTGGAGGCACACAAGCGGATACATGTGCTGGAGAATAGATTCTTCAAATGCACTGTGTGTGGAATCATTTTCACTCAGCCACACATTCTAAATGCTCACATGGAAGTACACCGAACTGCTAATGTGTTTGTCTGCAAGGCCTGTGACAGGACTTTCACCAAAGCTGATGAGCTTCTGGCCCACATGAAGTCACATCCAGTCGTGGTGGTCAGTCCTCCCCCGAAATGTGGGATTTGTGGGAAATACACAACAAACCTGAAGAAACATAAGCATCTCTTACACCCTAAACCTGAGGAGACGTTCATCTGTGGAGTCTGCGGGATGAAATTCAATGAGTGCGAACAACTGGAAGTGCATATGAAGATCCACACAGAGAATCGACTGAAGAAGTGTCACATTTGTAGTGAAGGCTTTAAGGGGGCTACAGCTTATCGGAAACATTTACTGACGCATATGAAGGACAAGTTATTTGTTTGTAAGATTTGTGGACGTACCATGAGAAAGTTGCCAATATTTATTTGTCATGTGCGAATCCATACTGGAGGGAGGCCTCATCTGTGTAAAGTTTGCGGAGAAAGATTCCGGTTTTCCAGCAGTTTGTTCCACCACATGCAGTCTCACGTTGGAGCAAGGCCTCATTCATGTGCAATATGCGACAAAGGGTTTATCCATATGAGGCATCTGAAAAAACACATGTCAGCTGCCCATGTTAAAAAGACAACCTCTGAATCAAAACAGACTGAGGGGTCATGGCGGCACAAGCAAAAAAAAATGTTCCATTTTTCAAAAAGCTTGAAATTTACTTTGAGAAAAAATACAGTCTCTGAGAGAAAGACCAGAAATACAAAAATGCTTTCAACATATTCCACCCAGTGTAAGATGTGTCAGAAGAGATTTCCAACTTCCAAACATCTCAATTTCCATATGAGAAATTTGCATCCTGAAGTAAAATTTAATTTTGATGATTCATCTTTCACTTGTATGCTGTGCCAGAGGACCTTTCAAACCAACAAGACTTTTACCTACCACATGGAAAAGATACATGAGATCGGTCAAGTTAGTAAAAATCTGAAAGGGAAATTATACCAGTGTGATGTCTGTGAAAAAGTGTGTGGCAGCAAAGCGTCATTGACCAAACATGCGATAAAACATAAATGTGACTTCTCATATTCCTGTGGTGTGTGTGGAGGCTCTTTTCCTAGTTGTGAAGTGCTGACTCAGCATATGGAACTGGAACATTTTGATACTGTTGATAACCCAGAGGGTGCTGCCTGACCTGCTTAAAGTGTGTACCATTATATATTTCATTCTAAGCATGATAAGGACAAGGAAAACATGTGTTTCTTATCAGAAGTTTATCAGAAGAAAAAAACATGTTACCAGGTTTCATTTCCAATTTTGGATTCATCATCTGGTGTCTGTCCATCATTAACTTCTGCATATTTGACATATTTTCTCATACTTTGACTTTTTTGTCATATTTGTATTTTTGATCCATCTACAAACATTACCTGTTATGTATCCATGTTTAATTATGCATTTTTGTTACTGCATTTTCATAATCTCTGAAACTAAAAGGCCTTTGCAGCTGAAACTTTGTATTCATGATTCAAGGTATGGTGTCTTGCAAACTTGTTCCGATCCTAATACTGATCCAAAATCGATGAGAAAGGGTTAGTATTTTTCTGTTAATGATAATATTGAGTGCAAATACTGATGAAAGCTTTTTTTTAAAGGATATTTCAAAGACTGAAATTTTGTAAAAAGTGTAAGATTCTTGAGAACCATGGACTCATGGCATTGAGACTGTGTCCATGTAATGGCTATGAGAATATCCAAGTTTGTTCCAGGTCTCACTGTTTGCAGTCATCACTGGACATACATAAATACATTTCTTTCTTGATATTCTTGCACCAGTTTGTTCTTTAACTTACTACAGTCTTTAGTTTTAAAATATTGTACAAGTGTCCCAAAAAATACGGAGCTACAAGGTATTGCGGTATACAGGTATGTCAGTTAAACAGGTAAAGCCACCATACTTGCAGCAAGGAAAGATAACTCTTTCATGACAATCTAATGTATCTTGTTATTCCTAGCATATTAAGACTGGATTTTTTATGAGGCAAAACCAAGGTAGCATGTTATACATAAAAAGTTGTTTGTACAGCTTGTTGTATTTGACCCATGATGATGCAACCGTGCATCTCGAGTGAATTATGTGTCCATTCTGATATGATTATAATTATGATGCACACCCTGAACTTTTTCATATCAGTATCACAGATGTGTTTATAGCCACAAAAGCTACTGCAGTATGGTGCTAAAAATAGGTGCTTAATCAAATTACACTCACGAATGAGTGTTCAAAATTGAGATAGGAGTGGGTGTGTATGGTTAACACCACTTGTCATGCTTATAGCAATATTCCAGCATTGTCATGTTGGAAAACATCAGAAATGGACCTTACGCATTGTTCCCATGTGGGTGAGCACTTCAACCACTAGACTACCCCACCGCCCCCTTTTATAGGAGAGATGAACATGCCCGCATCACTTCCAATTCAAAGTTTTAATGGTGAATAGATTAAAGTTAGTTACCATTGTACGCTAATACAGATATAATACACTGATGATGATGATGATGATGATGATGATGATGATAATGACCCGCCAGCACCATACCCCCAGTCATAGATGGTTCTCCACAGTGTCCTTTATGATAGAGGTGTTCTGAGAATTTTAGTTTCATTTTTGTATAATCTCTATAATTTTGAACCAGGCTAGAAAAATAAAACCATATTTTTGGTCTCATTCTCAGATGTAAAGGTGCACAATTCATACAAAAATAAATAAGTTCAATAATTAAATATCAAAATACACTGGATATAAAACCAGTGGAGAGGTGGGAATAAGGTGCTCAATCAACTGTGCAGAGTTATGTCCCTTGGGCTTGCCTGGATATATGGGTTTCATCATAGGTATCGATTATAACATACCTGTCAACTCTCACGTATTTGGCGTGAGTCCCACGCTTTATTGACAAATTTCACGCTCTCACGCCTCCAAATAATAATCTCACGCATATCTGGTAGCTAAAAATAATTTCAAAATTAATAGGCATTTTCGTTCGTTTTTGCGTAAAGTTGAACATTGAAAGAACGCCTGAATGAACGAAGTACTAAAACGATGTTTATGCGAATGATTCGGCTTATTATTATTTATTAGCATGCATCTTTTAGTGTCAAAATAATGCCACCAGAAGGCTCCAAATGCTCCTGAAAATCACTAAACTTCATATTTGGGGGCAGGGGGTTTTCGCCCCCCAAAGACCCACCACCAGGGCATCGCCCTCGACATGACCCCGGCTTATTTTTTTCAGTCTCACTCCAAACCATCTTTAGGGGTTGACAGCTCTGTTATAAGCCCACCTCATATACAGTGATAAGGCTTCTAGGTTAGTCATCACTACACCTGTGCTCATTTGTTTCACAAAATTCCCTGCACCACATAGAGAATTACTCTCTCATTAAACTGACAAACCATTTTGAGACTGAAATACTTGTCATAGTGTTAAACTCACTCAGCTGCTCACTCATGGACCAAGTTAAAACCACCATAAGTTACATTATTTTTCATTATACTGTTAACAATAGTTGATTTTCTTCTTTCAATGAAGCTTTAATACGGATTGAACACACTATTGTCAGTCATTTTGCCCTGAAGACTTACATATTTTAGGCTTGCTGAATCTGATGGTTCCTGGTTCAAAGTTTGTCAGCAACAAACCCGAAAAACATGGCGATAGAACTGAAAAAGTGTTGAAAACAGCTTATTACCAGCTCCTTAACCCTGCCTTCATCACTGTTAGCCTTATCTTTTCATTTATGCCAGAGTGGCCTTGAAGAATTATTCTCAAGCTGTGATCTTGGTGCTGTTCTATTTTCTCTGCCTTGATCAATATTTATCAGCAAGTACCAAAATGTTGCCTTCATTTTATTTTTGGATCATACATCATATTGACATGGTTTAACCTTGACCTACAATGTGGAAGGTCAAGGTAACCCTGACAGGTCAATATGTCAAGAGTTGTTCCAGGAAGTAGGAGAGTCCTGTAGTTTATGATATGGTTTTCTGTGTTTAACTGGAAGATTGGATAATGTTTATGTGACCAAAATATTTCTTGTCAAGCATTGGTAAATATGCTTGTCCATCTTTGGGACCAATTTGAAGTTTCTCGGCATCAGTTCTTAACATTTGTGTGTGTTGAAAACACATTTCTGCATCATGCAAAACGCTGTATATTTAATATTAGCGGCACCAAAATTAGTTTCTGTACATGACATCACTGAAGTACAAGTGGAGAACGGGTAGACTTATGGATTTCAGCCTTTCACATTTTTAAAAGTGACGTTTCGGTCCAGATGATCGTACTTTTTATCAGACAATTAAGTCACTTGGTTCTTGACCATACAAAACGTATCAAAACGTTGTAAAAATAAACAAAAAAAAACAATTTCCTCAACGTGTTAAGAATACAGTGGAAAAATATGAAGGGATGAGAGTTTCTTTAAGATAATTTTAAAGACAAATATTTTCAGTATTTAATTCTATATTGATGGCATAAGTACATGAGATGTCAGCAAATAAAATGGGACAGCTGATTTGTAAACCAAGCTTTAAAAAGTCTTGCCTAAACTCAATGAGTCCATTCCTGACTTGAGTCATGAGGATTAAGGAATGATTGAAAGTGTTATGATGCTTCCATAGATGTACACGTTCTTTGCAGTAACGTCCAATATGTTTCTGAACTGGACAATCAAAACAATTTTAATGGACTTTCTTAGCTGAACAATGTTAATCACTTACAGAATAAGATAATTTTTCTTGACAAATTTTGTTTATAGCTGTAGAATTCGCCTACTTACTTAGAAAAAAATGATATTATGTCTTGGATTTTAATATTTGTTGATGTCTAAAACCTGATGGCACATTTGACAAATTGCATTCATTAAGTCCACAATAAAACAGTCATTTTATTACCAATTTCATTAAAGCGTATGTTTTTCTTATTATTGTCATTCATTTAAGTTCTGTTGGTCATCATTGTCTTAAGGTAAGATTATTCCAATGATAACTGGCACAGTAAAGATGGAATCATAGACAATGAAGCATACAGCTTTATGGATGACAAATTGTTGTTTATTGCAGAGAGGGATGTTTCGTTTTACTTGATGAAGTGTAAGGATCTACACTGTAATATCCCACTATGCAAGAAACAAGAAGTTCTCATCCATAAAGCTGTATGCTTCATTCTTGACTCACAAACTTCTAAAATGCCAATCAAAAAATTAGGATCATAGACATTTAGTGCCAGGAACATTGACTTCAAATTTAAGTGTTTCTCAACATGCAAATAAAGATATTTGTACAACTCATCTCTGTTCATCTTCTCTCAAAATTACTAGAAAACGTACAACCTTATGGGTTAAAAATCCCTGTTTTCAGTATTTAATGTTTTGATGTAGATTTTTACATGATTCTTGAAGTGGAGTGACAGGAAACAGCTGCTATGGACCTATTCCAATGTGGAATCCCAGTGAGTGAGTGAATGAGGTTTTACGCAGCTTTTAGCAATATTCAAGCAATATCATGATGATGAACACCCAAAATGGGCTTCACACATTGTACCCACGTGGGGAATCGAACACAGGTTTTCGGTGTGATGAGTGAACGATTTTACCGCTGTGCTACCCTAGAATCCCAGTGTACTGCCATTTTGATTATTATCATGATGTGGGTAGGAATTTAAGAAATACAGTTGAAACTACCCTCTTGTGTAGTGGAATAAAGTACAGTGTGCCCTGAACTAATGCCCTTAAAGCATTTGAACACAGGCGTCCTTGTGCTGTAACTGTAATAGTTCAGGGCAAAATTGTACATAGAGATTATTACCTGGGTGTGTTTCCAGATCATTAATGTCATTTATTGGGAATAAAAATTGTATAAATATACATAATTTTTATTCCTAATATATGATATTAATGATCGGAAACACACAAGGTTAATAATCTATTATCACATGATGTCATTCTTATAATTTAATATACATGTACTACACACTTGGAGGTAGTGCAAAGTGTGTTTCTTAAATCAGGAACATATATTGTAAGGATCAAAGGGGTAACTTGCTTGAAAGTCTCTATGGGAGTGCATATATTTCGTTTAAATAGAATGAATGGACCCAATGTCCACAGTATTTGGGGTATAAAAAGATATCACACATTTCATAAAATTGGAGTCAGACATATTGTCTTGCACCTTTTTGGGGGCGTTAGAGTACAGTCGTCTTGGGTGTTGCAATTTTTTTGTAGAGTTCCATCTCTCAGGCATGCCAGAAACAAGTTATTGTCAGTTCCACTTAGAAATATTGTTTTTTATAAAAGACATACAATGAACTGGTTCTCACTCATTCCGGGAAAATCAGCCATTAAATCATTATACTACATGATCTTTTACCTTCACATTGCAGTGTGGAGCTGTTTCAATGTCTGCAGTATTAAAATACATAATCAGGGGCGGATACAGCTTTTTGAGAAAGGAGGGGTGCACACTATTGAGAAAAGGGAGGGTGCACACTTCATGTTCACCCGAGTTTGAATGGTCATTTAATAAACTTTCAGGACAAAAGGGGTGGTGCGCACCCCTGCACCCCCCGTATGGATCCGCCTATGATAATGTATTTACTCTTGTAGAAACAAGAAAATCCTTGTAGAAAATCCAATGCAGCCTTTTTGTGACTGTAATATGTCGGAAGGAGGAAAGCAACTGTGCCAACATTAAACAGAATATACAACACATCCTGAAATACCATCGGGCTTGATAACAGACATCTGTTCAGCCACAGGCAAACTGTAGCGCAAATAGGGTTGCGCTACAGTTTGCCTGTGGTTCAACGTCGCTTCAAGTTCGCACACCGGACCACCTGATTCCTTCCGTTCATCGCTTTACGAAGCCCTATCCTAACCCTGCTTTACACGGGTTATGTTTCTAGGTTATTTTGGCACCGTCGTTAGCGTATAGGGCCTCTGTTACGTACATTCTAATCGTTTATATTTGCCTTTTCGTTTTTGTAAGAAACACTATCTCTTAACTGACATAACTAGGTGGTGTTAAATTGTCTGGGCTTGTTGATGTACTCGGTACCTATCAGCTGACCTGGATCGGGTGGTCAGGCTCGCTGACTTCGTTGACACATAATAGATCGATGCTCATGCTGTTGATCACTGGATTGTCTGTTCCAGACGACATCGCCTACAACTTCACGAGTGACGTGTATATCTTATACTGTACTGGATTTACGTGTAACTTGGGAATGACTACCCCAGGAAACAACACGAAAGCCATATGATATGCAGTGGCGGATCCAAAGTGTGTGTGTGTGTGTGTGTGTGTGTGTGTGTGTGTGTGTGTGTGTGTGTGTGTGTGTGTGTCCCCACCCTTTTAAGACCACATTGGAAAAAAAATTGCGTTGGCGGAGCCAAGGCGTGTTGAGGGATTTTTAAAACCCACCTTTGGATCCGCCCATGATATGTACGATGTCAGCTGAAGTATGATATCTTGCGGTATTCGAGAGAGAGACAAGGTCAGTGAATGTCTGAGAAGTAAAGCAATGATGTTACTTTACAAAAATGTATGCGCTTTAGCCTACAGAGGTCCCCAAGCGGAACCGCTGACGTCACCCATTTTCGCATTTTTAAGAACAATTTTGGCCACCAACTGCTCCAAGGAAATATATGTTTTCATGGAAAAACTGTTCCAGTCTGTTGAGTAGATGTTGTTGCATATTTCCCCAAAGTTTCCTTTGAAAATATTCATAATTTTTTTATCTACTGGTATGTGTTTGCATGGAAATATCGTTGTGAGACAAAAACAGAGACAATATCAAGTCAAAAAATCATGTTTATTATCATATTATATTTTCTTCTAAGCAATTATGCATATAGTATCACTGAATGTTGTCACGTTTAGTTCAGAATACAATTTCTTCATCCTGTTCATGTGTATTTACATGCATTCAAGAACCAAAGTAAATTTTTATCATGTTGCTTTTACTAAGGTTTTCGGCAAAACTACTTCTCAAAATTCCTCTTTACCATTGTGTAAACTTCAAAATGAAATTATATTAATATAACACTCATTTGATTCTTGAAAATTATTTTTAAAGATAATAAAAATCTGAGCAAATATTTAAAATATTCAAAACCATAATGATTGCTTGTTGTATATTCAAGTCGCAGTTCTGTCTTGAATCCAGTAAATAGTTCATATCCATAATCCAAATATATTACATGATTTGACACTTCTGTTCAGAGTATACTTGAAATGAAGCCTCACACAAAGAGGATCATACACATAAAAACGTTCTTTTCAGTCACTTCATTGTCTAACTATCTTTCAGTTTCATCACTGGTCCTGGATGTTTCCCATCTGTTTCAGAAATACGTGAAGAAAATACTTGAGTGTATAATAAAACATATAGACAAGACAGTTGGCATCACATCAGCACCGCTAAGACCAAATACATCAGCTTAGAATCATTGTGAAAATGATATTGACAAATACGTTTCAGAGTTTGAAACAGTTCAAATGAATTTTATCTTGATGCATTGTGTCATTTGCTGTGTTCTTCAAACCCATGTGTTTCCAGTATCTAGCTACACTTTGTAATACATGTTATCATAAACAGTCATAGCAATTCTTTGTAAAAATATTTTACTATGTCGTAGGTACCACGATTTTACAATCCACTACGACTCCACGTGGAGAGGAGTCGTATTACATACTTTCAACAGTTGCCACATTCGTCATGTGTTGCATATTATATGTAATAAATTGAGAGAGAGAGAAGAGAGAGAGAGAAAAGACACCGATTCTAAAAAATTCTTCATTTTCCTTACTAGATATATGCATTTTACGACACCATAACGGAGCTTTTAAATGTATCTTTTTACGATTGTGAATTGTGGTGGTCCGATTAATTGAAATAATCAAAGATTGGTTGCAATGGCTAAACGACCAAGCAATTGATGATGTTTTCTCAGAAGCGAACACAAACAATTCTGGAACACTTGTTTGCATTAACAATATTTTTCACAAGGTTGGTTTTGTCTGTTACATTTCATAAGCACTACAAGTTCGTTCCTCATCATGATTGAATTCTGTGCAATGTACAAAATAAACCCAAAGAACTACATGTTTTTTCTAGATTTTTTGTGCATTAAAACATTAAAGCACACAGTCAGGAAGATTTGATAAATGACGAAAACCAATTATTTTCGATGATTGATCGGTTGTAATGAATCAATCATCAATTATGAGATTTAACCAATTCCCAGTATTAATTGTGAATAGGTTATTGACATGTTATCATAGACAGTCATAACAAGTTCTCATATTTATCTTCCACAGTATTTTCTTCGAGATGAGGCATTCTTCAACCCTTGTAGCAGGAATCTCTAAAACACAACGAGTTCAATACAATATATAACATATGTATGTAATATAATACATTAATATATGTGCATTCTTAGCAGCCAAACACTTGACAGTTCAGAAAAAACCTAAAGCACATAAGAGAAGATTAACTCTTTAAAGATTCAATTGTCATCTGACATTAAACATACATGCCCCCATCCCATTACCCTACAATAAATGGCTATCACTTAATTTTTGTTCAGTTTTTGTTTGTATATAAAAATGAAATTTTCATACATGCAGTAACCATTTATTAAAAACGCTTTCATTAATTTTTATGTAGATAAATCTCGGTTTAAATACTAAACCTCTATGCAATACATAACATTTCACAATTTATTAATGATCCTTCCATCATCATGATCATACATTCAATCTGGTTTTCAATAAATATAAAAGTCAGCTTTAAGTGAACACAGTAAAAACACATTTTTATACACACAAGTGTTACCACTATTTCAACACACTAAAATGAACATGTAATGAGCCTTGTCTTTGCTAAGACACGGGGATTGTTTACATGCATATAGTTTGAAAAATATCTTAATCATGTTACCATGGTTACTAAATTGCAATTTGTAAACACAAAAAGAGTGACAACTTCCTGTTCTTGCTCAAATACGATATAACCACAACAATAAAAATGTTCTATGATCAGGAGAATCCAGGAAACGTGATATACAAAGACGTTAGTTATAAAAACTTTCGTTGTGAAAAAATAGCTGAATATCTGCGTCGACTTTACCTGCTTCATGTCAGGAGCAGATAACTCTAAATGACCAAGGCTTAAACGTCGGCCTGTCCGTGAATCGTCCGCAGTTCGAAGCTCGTTATATTCGAACACCTCCCAGCCAACTCACGTGTTACGGCACGTTATAAGCACGTGAACCTCCATATGCACTTATGGGGCGGTGGGGTAGCCTAGCGGTAAAGCGTTCGCTAGTCACGCCAAAGACCAAGGTTCGATTCCCCACATGGGTACAATGTGTGAAGCCCATATCTGGTGTCCCCCGCCGTGATATTGCTGAAATAATGCTAAAAGCGGCGTAAAACCATACTCACTCACTTAATGTGTTAAAACGAAACTTGATTCTAAGTATGTAAACAGTGTATGAAATAAGGCCCGTCCGACCGCCCGAGACGGGCTAGATTTCTGCCGGACGGTCTAATTTTACAGCTAACCAGCCCGATGGACGGGTGACAAAAATGTTCAGATAACGTGTCCACTGGCACTGTCTGTTTAGTATTTAAGAAGGACTAGTTAAATCTCTTCCGGGCTGATAAGTTTTTGACGTTACCAGCCAGGATGTCTGGCTGGGTTTTGGGCTTATGTCATACACTGATATAGAGGTGACCAGATGACCATATCTGGAAAAAGGAAAAGACGACTTTGTCATATTAAATGTTATTCGTACACATTCAAATCATGCGATACATCTGAATTTCACATCACCGGGAAAATAAACATGATATTTTGTATCGTAATTGCACACATTTACATGATGAAATTGTTTCACATAATATTGCGTTTCACAAAGATCAGAGGCTAATATAAGTCTATAATTGTCAAACAACTCGTCACACCGACCACCTGTTCCGACAAGATGACCCGCCAAAGTTCTTCACTCACAAATCTTTGACATCAGCATCAACAACAATCGGCACCAACTTCATTTTGTCGGCGGCGTCGTTCAGGTGATCGATCACTTTGTCCAGGTAGATGATATCCTTTATCTGTTCATTGTGTTTTGAAATCATCTTTTTAATTTCAACGTTACCACGGTTCAGATTCTTGCATCTCTCCTGCATCCGAGAACAGTCCTTGTTGAGGGCTTGACAGCTTTGGATTAGATCAGTCGTTTCTTTCTTCACCCTGGCAAGTTTTTCTAGACATTTTTCAGCTTTAGCAAACTCTTCCTCCGCGACGTTCTGATAATAGTT